GAAATGGGGATGTCACACAGCTCTCATCCCAGGGTGGATGTTTGGGACCATTTCAGGAATGGCCAAGCAAGAGGAGGATGGTGAAGGCAGTGGTGTGTGTCCTCCACATCAGCCCAGAAGGCACTGGGACCTCACGGCCCCGAATTACAAGCAGATGCATGTGACAAATATAATGGGGGGGTGCTCGGGTTTGATCTTCAATCAATTAGGGAGTCAAAGAGCAGCAGCCTTACGGGATATAAGAAATAGCTTTCCACTTAGAAAGGCAGGCAGAGGCAAGGCTGACAGCCCTGGCCATTAAGGTTTAGTGGAGGTCAGTAATTTTGCCATTAGAAAAGGGACACTGAGTGAGGAGCAGGCTGTGAAGCTGGTGTGTGAGGGGAGGGATGCCGGGGGACGGGGACAGCAACCTCCCCTGTCTGGACTCCATCCATGTTTAGATGGGAATGGGGACAAGGTGACAGTGTTCCACCATTCCTTGAGTAATTCACATCCTCTTGTTTGAAATATCACTAATCCCACACTGGGATCATGCTGCTGACACAGCCAGAGAAGATTCAGGGGTGTGGGGGGAGTCACATAAAAAAAGGAGGAAGGACTTAAGGGCAGTATGAGGTTCTCCAGAAATCTGGAGAATTTCTGTACACAGACAGAAAGTTACAGGACAACTTTTGTTATTTCTCCTCAAAATGGATTTTATTGCAGGGAGGAAGGACCTAAGGGCAGTACGAGGTTCTCCAGAAATCTCAGTACACAGACACCCTGTTACAGGACAACTTTTCTTATTTCTCCTCAAAATGGATTTTATTGCAGAGCAATATCTGGCAAGGAAGCCAGCCCGTTGTGTGCTCTCATTGTACAATCTGCTCCTACTTTTGCTCCCAATCCTCTTTTTTTAATTTCAAAGGCATTTTCACCTTACATGTCCATTTGCTCCTACCCTGGTGCACATGTTTACTCATATCCCACGAGGTTCCTTCAAAGACAGGTCAGATCAAAAACTTCCACCATTTTAAACAGGTGCTTAAGTATTATTGCCTCTTATTATTAGCCGTGCCATCACGTTTTGCTGGGGACTCAAGACAAAGCTGTACGTGAGCAGTTCCTAACCTGAGACATTTAACATGTTAAATCTCAGATGTTATCATTACTTTTCTCCTCTTCTCCTTCCCTCTCCTCCTCTACTAATGAAAAAGGCCGGTCTTTAAAATAGAAATTAAATTCATGCACCCACAAGACAATGCTGGGCTTAAATCCAACTGCATGTGAGGATCTTGCTGTTAAAGCTGAACCTTATTCTCTTGCTACACGGGCTTTCCTCTGTTTGGAGATTTTGGGGATAATGTAACGGAGATCCTTAAAGGCAGATTGAACCTCAGTGTGAAAAAGCTCAGAGGCTGCTCCTGAGGTAACGCGTTTATCAACATCACCTGGCATCTCCCAATGAGTGTGAGGAAGTTAATGCTCCTCAAACTATGGAATGTGTCGTCTCAAACTTTCACTGCATTGCTGTATTTTGTGTCTAGGATAATAAACTCGAGAGCGGTAACACAAAAGCAGAGTGGCATAACTTTTAGCCTTAGCTTGCTGGGGGGAGGCAGCTTAGTTCATAGTCTGTCAGAAAGGAGAAAGGCTTCATGAAGCCAACCTTTCGAACTGGAGTCTGCTCTACATCGTGCTTGTACCAGTTCACCTCTGCCAGTGTTACTATGGCTAAAGTAACTGTACAGTGCATCCGTACAGAAATGCCCTACACTGATCCCATTCTTTTCCCCAAATAGGAAAAGCTCTTTTTATGGCCAGGCACACGTTCTCACCAGCAGTCAGCACAACTTCACCAAACCATGGTAATTAAGGCAATGCCACTGTTCGTGTAGGTAATGTTGTAAATGAGCAAGATTTTCAGGAACCCGAAATCTGATCAGAAGAAAAAGGATTTTCTTCTGCAGCGCCGTCCCAATAATCTCCAGAGCTGATGCTTACAGTCTGGGTATCAAGCTCCGGTATCAAGCTCAGCAGATGCCTCTGGTTACATGAGACAAGATTTTAAGCCTTCTGTCTTCCAGACAGGAGGCACAACACAAAGGCTGCTTAGCACACCCTGCAAAGCGGGCTAAAGAGGACTCAAGGGGGCTCACGACAAGATGAAAACATTCACCTTTAAGCTTGGGTCACCTGGATTTCCAAGCAGATGAGCCAAGCTCCCCTCACTGCAAGGCCTGGTTTCCTTAATTACCTGTGTGCAAGACAGCAAAGTGACACACTTTCACAAGGACTGGGTTGTGAAAGAAGCTGGCACGCACTGAAATGCACTAACTTCAGTGGTAGTTACAGGTCTCTGCTCCTTTCTAGGAATGCAGGAACATCATGAGGCAGGTCTTCTCTTCCTCAGACCTTCTCTGAAGGCCACCACCATGAGCAATTGCCTCAGATTAAAGGAAATCACTGTCAAAGGCCAGGGTGAGGGACTAGCCAAGAAACTAAGCTTCCAACTCCTATTCTAATCCCTAGAGCCTTCTCTTCACCAATGCCCAGACCTCAAAGTGGCAGTAAACATTCTCTTGTGCCAACAATAGAAGGAAACAGTCAATATAAAGGAAATTGGGAATAGGAAAAAAAAAAGAAAAGGAGAAAAGGCGACAATGTTGAAAGCAATAATGCAGGTGTTTATGATGGGAAGCCCATGCAGGTGTGCACAAGGGCCATCCAGGGGTACAAGAGGAAAACACAGGTTTGCTCAGGCCCTGACCTTGTTTTCCTGCTACCGCAGTTTAACCTATTTCTTCCTCTCAGTGGGAGACAATAAAACCTCAGCCCAATCCATCACCAATCGGGGAGGATCCAACAGGTGAATTAAACCCAGAAAGCAGATGGGGCACTGTGTCTGCCGGGCCCCAGCTGTCATGTCTGCGAGCTGTCTCGCCTTCACGATGCCGCCGCTGTCTCCAGAGCATCCCCATCCCACCTCCCACCCCGCTCCCTGCGCTGCTAATGACACTGGGAGTGGAGCCAGAGCCTGCTCCCTCCGGCACGGCCGGGCAGGAGTGGGGTCAGGTCACCTTCCCTTCATTGCTCTCCAGCAGGTGGAAATGGCCTGTCCTTCCCCTCTTTGGGACAGCAGGGCTGGGGCACCCGTTGGCAAGGACACTGGAAATGCTGAAATTGAGCAGGAGGTGGTCCCTGCCTGGGCACCAAGAGCTGAATTCCCTGCTCTTTTTTTTTCTGTTATTACTACACTCCTTACTGCCTGGCCCCAGTTTGCCCAGTTATTCCAGCTTTTCCCCACACACTCTGTCAGAGCTCCCAAGAAGATGGAAAGGAGAAGAACTGTACAAGAGCAGGGAGAGTCTCGCCCGCCTGCTAGGAGTCACACACTCCTCTGGCATCAAGACAAAGCTTAAACAAGAGACTTTCAGACAAACTGATTGAAAAGCACTGAAGAGCACAGGAACGGTAAGCTGGGGGACCACTGGCTAATAACTATTAAGTATTTTTTCTTCATTTCCTAATAAACAAGGCAAAGCAATTACAGTAATTAAAGATTTAAGATAAGAGCACTTTATATTTGGGGGGCCCAGCATATCAATTATATAGTTATCACGTTGTTCTCCCTCCTAATGAGACAATCTAGCACTGTAATTTTGCAGAATTAAAAGCATAATTAAAGAGGGCAGGAGAAGAAGGGCATTTTACCCAAACTGATTAGGAGGGTTTCCCTCTCCCCTGTGCCTCCAGCACTCACACACGGTGCTGATGCCTTCCCCAAACACCTTTCCAAGTGATAACCCTCGAACAGGGCTGTTGGGCAGCTGCAATGATAAACCCAGACTTTAATTACAGGAGGGTTTTATGAGAAGAGCCAGTTACTGTTTCGTCTCCCTGCTTTCTAGCTCTGGGTTGCTGAACATACCAGCATCTGCTGGAAGGCAAGGGGGGAAAGAGCTTATCTACTCGGGAGCAAGAAACACATAAAACATAAGAAAAGCAATTACATGCCTTCGGTTTCCACTCCTCTGTTTTTATAGGGCTTGTCTCAGAATCTGAGTGATTTTATGCATCACAGGAAGATGACAATCAAGATGAGCTGCAATGATATGCATGGGAGGCTGAGACACAGTGCCTTTAGGTATTTATTTGCCTGTAGTTACATGTCTTCTAAACATCATGTTTTTTCAGAGGGATGAGAGAACCCAAAATTTTGCAGCTGAATATTGCGGGCGCTGAGACCATACGTGAGAGCCCAAGTGACAGCTACCAGAATGCAACTTAAGACAATCCCTTCTCTTCCTCCAACCCTGCATGATTCCAGGATGTATTTAGAAGGTACCAAGAAAGACACGACCAAAATATATACATATTGAGGTTAAGACCCAGAATCCAAGTGACTCTTTGCCTACTGCAACTCCATTCCTTTCACATTTAGACTACACAGGCCCTCAGGATCAGTAAGACACGGCGATGCTCTTTGATACTTGTAATCAAGAACATGTAACAACCAGCACTGCTGCCACCTCCTTCCCAAACTTTGCTCCCCAACATTAAATGGTCCAGTTTACATTGCATCAGCATTTGGGGCCAACGGAAAGCAAAAGGCAGGACTTTGGGCCCATACACCCCTGTGTATTTTCAGGCAGCTACATAAAAGGCCCACAGATGACTCTGTGGTCATGCAATATGTTGGTCTCACCAGGCACAAAGACACAGAACCCTGGGCAGAGCGGGAAATACAATTTACAGTCTGCAAATACAGATGCCTTTAGTGCAAACACAAGGCCCATGGTGCAAAGCACAGAGCCTTACTCACCCCAAACAGGAGTGAGTGAATAAAGAGGACCCCACAACTCTTTCTGAGCTGAATGTGACATCTGCACTTTAATTTCAGGCCCTGGAGGTGACTCCACTGGGCAGCCTGGGCAGTACTGGCCCAGAAAGGCTGGTCACCTGCTGCCCAGTTTTCTCTGTCTTTGCCCTCGCAATGCACCCCCCTGGCAGGAAAGTACCTTCTTTTCATGATACTGATGTGGAGATCTTCCTCCTGCTTTACTTCAGGGTGTTGACCATTGCTCTTATCGCTCTCTTCGCTGTCGTCACTATGCGAGAAGATTGAGGTGAGCTCTTTCTTTGGGATCCTGGTTGGAGGTAAGGGGATGGTCCTCTTCTCTGCCAGGCGACCCCGGTTCTGAATGGAATTCGTTGGAATGGGAGAGGGCAGGAGGAAAAGAGAAGAAAAGAAGAATTTGGTTAGAAACCCAGAACCAAGCAGCTCCTCTCAAACAGCTGCGCTGCCAAGGCAATGCTGTTAGTCACAGCCAGTCTCAGACTGGTCCATTGGGTGGGCAAAGGATATGTTCTCTTTGCAAAAGACTTTTCAGCAGAGGTGTATCTATATCTAGTTCTTCCAGTTCTAATACTCAAGTCATGCATTCCCAGCCCCTCCCCACCTCTTCATTCCTAGCTCACGTCTCATCCACACCAACGAGAAAGGAAGGTGGCAGCACAATCGGGCCCCAATCTCTCTCTTCCAGGGTACTTCCTACCCAATGTTGCACATTAACATAGCAGAATAGGTTAAATTAAACCTTTGCCAGTAGCCCTGGGAAGGTGTGATCCAGATAATCCAGAGGACTTTTGACTGCAAAAGGGAAACTGCCTATGCCAGCCAGCAGCAGGTTTGACCCTCACACCAGTGAACAGTCAGCATCAATTTAAACTCGAATTACTGAGGGTACTTTTCTTTGTTCCTCTGTGTGTTCAGACAAATCCTTGTGCAGGCTTTCCCTAGGTGGTCCTGGCAGCACACCTCCCTCAACAGCTCCCTCTGACAAGACACAAATAAACAGGAGGAAAACTGCCAGGAGGCAAAAGCTGCTTTTTCACTCCATGTGCATTTGTGTACAGAACCCAGCACACCATGACCCTGCTCCCAACCTCCTCTCTTCTGCAAGAAGTGAGGACGTATTACACATTACTCTGCTTCTGCACCCTTGGTGCCTGATCCACAAGAAGATATGAGCCTAGTGCTGCCTAACCTGGAGTGTGTTGGGTTTTTAGCTCTCACTGGGATAAGAAGATGTTTCTAGCACTTGGGGTGTTCAGCTTGATCTGTGACCAAGACAGAGAGCCCTAATACGAGCACTTAGAGTGGAAGATGTACACTGGAAACCCAGGGAGACTATAATGTCATTCCCCCTCTCCCCCTGAAATTAAAATTTTAACCAACAAAATGATGAAACTGGGAAGGGAACCACCCTGAGGGGAAGTGAAGCACGGTTTCACGCACATTCTTTGTAGAGGTACGTAGGCATCATTCCTTCAATAGGAAAAGTCGTAGTAAAGAAACACATTTTTAGCAAGAACTGGAACAAAAGGAAGAAAGGTGTGTGAAACTGGTTGAGTAAGTGCAGAGTAACATTTGACTCAGAACAGTTTCTCTGAAACATCAACTCCAAGTTTCCAAATAAACCTGGCAGAATGAAAACACCCTGGGAAAACCACTCGGGCTCTCGGCAGGGGAGAATGGAGCAAGACTAAGTGATAGAAGAGCCCATGTTTTTTTAATTAAACAAATTAAGAACTTTCCACAAATACAAAAACAAAAAACTTCTTGTTTACCTCTGTCAATAAATTCCAGTCATGGTCATTAAGGGGAGCCCTAATTGCTGTGATAATTAGCTAAATCCATCTGGAAGGCATCACCCCAAGGAGGCACACGAGCTTTCCCGTTCCGATGCAGTCCCAAGCCAAGAACGCAGCTGTCTGTGAACAGCAGACACCCCAGGGAGGGAAAAGCAGTGGGCCAAACTGGCTTAAAAATGGGAAAACACGTGTATAGAAGGAAAAAGACACGCACTTTTTTTTCTTGAGAGACACGTGAAGAAGAAAAACGTACCCCTGGAACAGCAAGAAGGTGAAGCCCCGACTATCCCCAGTACAAAACTTGGATCAACTGCAACAGACCTCGTGGTGAGTCCAAACGCTCAGATGCAGGAGATATAATGGGACAGAAATTGCACACCTCCTGCCCTTAAATACTTTTCGTGTATAAGATGCGTTTCCACCCCTGCCCCTTTCCTGCTCCAATGAGTACAGAGAATGTGGGCAGAGCCCGACCTCCAGCCTGCACAGTGTCAAGGACAGCAGGGAAAAAAAGAGGAGAAAAAGGGAAAAGCAGGGGGAAGGAAAGGAAAAGCAAGGAGGGCAGTATTTGCACCAAATTTGTCATGCTGAAAAGCAGGATTTGATATCAGCATGAGCTTTATCATGCCAAAGCTTTATATATTTTTCTGAAGTTGCAATTTATCATAACAATTAAAGGGAGAGGGGAGGGAGGGAGTGCAAATTTCCGCTTCAAAATAATTGCAATTCACTCTCTGCTGTGACTTCACAGGCTAAAGAGAACGGCACTGATCAGATACTAAAAATCATTTTATGGCCGTTATGGTACCTTCGAGCAGTTACCAGGTCTCAGTGACTGCCCAGGGACTCATCAGCCCTAACAAGAGCGTGAGTGCAGCAAACAGGGAGGCACTAAACCTGGAGACACAGCCCACCAGGCTAGGAACACAGGTTCCCCCTTGTCCCTGCTCCTCAGGACGCTCATTCTTTGCCTTTCTCTGAATTGACCCTTACACCTAAAGCTGCTACACCTGGATAGAAACACACACATTCTATATGTAATATAAAAATATGTATACACATGCCTATATGGATATCATCTCACACACAGAGAGCTTCTTCCCTTAAAAGACAAATGAATGGACATGAATGGAAAAGAGAACCTGCCTCTGCAGCAATCTCTGGTCCCAGATGTCCTGCCCATGGGCATCGGAACCGGGGCCACAGTGGTCCCAGCCCCCTTGGGTACACCTGCATTCCATCACCAGCAATGCTTTTTTTTAAAGTTGTGTTTACTTTATATTTTTGCCATTAGGTTTGGGGCATTTTCTTCCTTTATTTATTTATTTATTACATTTCTCCATCCCCAGAAAATTAAAATAGACCGAGCCAATCAATTTCGCCTTTTATGTTCATCTATAGTCAGTTTTGAATCAATTGCACTTTCTTAATCTGTTTAGAGGCATTCACCAGGAGATACGCATTACTTTTAAATTAAGCACAAAAGTAGCCAGCAGCCTGGTCCAGAACCTGCTACAATCAATTGTCTTTCCATCGACTTCAAAGGGCGCTGGTCCAAGCCGCAAATAAAAACACTGCCTTGTGAGAAGCTTTCCATCCAAGGAATCTTTCCTATGACTCTGGCTTTTGCTAAAATCCTCTGCCAGTTGTACAAACAGCTACAGGACAGGAATGTACCTATATTGAGATACCCACAGCTACTCAGGTTCAGGGTTATCAACTCCCACTTGGCCCGCAGTGCCACGTGGTGAGGAATGCACTCAGCAAAGCTGTGTTATGTGCAAGAACACATCCAGAGAGCGCAGTCCTGTCGCTATATATGGGGAGGTACATTAGGATTTATAGATATTTGATGTAAGCCTCATAATCCCACATTAAAAAAAAAGCTCCTATTTGTGTGACAGCGTCATTGCAGAGTGATCTCATACATTAATGGGATGCTGGTGCTGAACCATGAACCCTGTAAGAAGGTCTGAATATTTTAAAAAGAAAACAGCCGCCCAATTTGTTGATATTCATTGGGATGTCTGATGCCTGGGAAAACAACCCGATCAATAGTCACCTATGGCCAGAGAGCCAGGCCTCTGGGGACTCCAGCTCCCCTCTCTTAAATAACTCCATTTTTACACAGCTAAAGAAAGGGGGGAAGGTGTGCTTTGCCAGCTGCCTTGCTTAAACTAGTGGGACTGTTCTGGCCATTGGGTCAGAAGGAGCATTTTCTATAGCTGCAGAGCCAACAGCTGCCAGTACAGGTGCAGCACCCCCAGCAACAAATATGAACGATACAGAGCATAAAGATGTCTTACAACTCAGCCCAGCGAAGCCAGGCTGCCTGTCTGGCAGCTCCCTGCCCCGGGCAGCACGGACAGAAGGTGCTCTAAGGGACAGATTTTATCCCTGAGAGCAGGGGGAACGTGGGATCCCTCCTGAGGACCAGTTCTCTACATGTACATGGGTCAAATACAGCCAGGCAAAACAGGTGGGTGCTCTCCCCTGCCCTCCAATGCACCCTCCAACAACCTCTTGGGTGCCCAAGAGGAGTCCAAGATGTTTGCTCTCAGGCCAAACACTGACTCTGCTTAGAAGAAACATCTTCAGATGTTGCACCTTCCTTTCATCACACGAGGATTCCCCCCACCCCCTGGACAGAGGGTGGAGAATAGAATATCACTTATTACCCTCTCCTTAATTAGTGTAAGTGGAAAGTAAAACATTTCCGCAATTCTCCAAAGCTTTTACAAGGGTGAGTGTTGAGGGCACTGCAGAACTGCCTCACGTATTAGGACTCCCTTCCCTTTATACATCGTTAAAGCTTAATTTCGTGGGTTATGATACCAGCTAACGAAGCCCAGCTGGAGTTGGAGTCAATAACCCTCTGTATCCCCAGCCAGCCCTGCCTGCGTCAGCCCAGCCCTCCCTCACTCACCACTTCACCCTCCCAGGGTCTTTTGACACCATTAATTGCTTTCGTTGCCTCTCAAAGTACTGTCTGGGTGGGGGGTTGCTTTGTTTTTAAAAATCACAGACAGGAATATTTCCTTTCCCCAGGAAAAATCAAATGGGCACCGACACACAATTTAAAGCTGCCGATTACCCAAGTCTAGAGAGGCAACAAGTGAAAAAAAAGCCACCCAACAACTTGGGAAGGGTGGTAGGTTACCTGGGTGGAGAAGCCTGGAAGCCTGATTGCTCTGTCATGAAAGCAAGGGACCATCAGAAAGATGGAAAAGAAAACAGTGGGGATATTTCTTCCCTTCCAGAGAATGGGGTGGAGGGGGGGGAAATTCCGCTCTGTGTGGCTAAGCAAGGTCAGTGGAGTCGGGGTGGAGGGAGCAGGGGGGGAAATTCTGCTCTGTGTGGCTAAGCAAGGTCAGTGGAGTTACAAAATAAAATCCTTCTCCCCTCCATCCATCCAACCCCCTCGTAGCTCTCCCCTGGAGCTGTGTCCTCCCAGCCAAGAATACCAAAATCCGAGCTGTTGCCCAAGAGCCCCGGGAGAGCCGGCAGATGGAAGGACGGGAGGAGAGCATGGGACTTGGGGGA